TATCATAAAAAACAATTTGTATAAACATTTAGTATGCATGCATCATACAAAAATCTCGCTGACCCCCCCCCCCCTTTGCTTCTCGCCTTTTCCACCATCACTCACTACTACAGTATGTACTACCACTAAAAAAAAAATCTCACACACACGCTCACACGCGAGCATGTGTTCAGCCGCTAAGAGGGGGGCAGATCCCAACGCTAAATAGCTAAATAGCTAAATAGCCTTTACACGCCTGGGCCGGCGACCACATAATAATAACAAGGACAAGGACAACAAGCAAAAAACGAACAAAATGCACGAACAATTCGACTTTCATACAGGACATTTCAGGACAGGACAATACGACGAGAGAGAGAGAGAGAGAGAGAGTGAGAAACAGGAAAAATAGAAAATGTAATAGCGTGTGCCCTGATGTGAACTTATTCCCTCCATACCTTTCCCCAGACTCCAGAAACAACCGACCCCCATATGTACGTGCATGATGGACATGGACGCGTGTATGTCTCAAGTGGAAAAAAATATGTGCCGGGCACTCGACCACCTACTACTTGCTGTTCGCTCCGTGCGCCTGACTTCCTCCCCTCCCCAAAACAGATCGTCTTCTTCACGACGACCAACTCAACAGCAAAAAAAGCGCCCGAAATATTCAATCATCAATAAAAAAAAGATTGAAATCATTGTGTATTTCGAATGGACACCTCCTCCCCGGTCCGCTTGCCCCCCAGATTCGATCGACGTGTCGTCGTCGTCGTGGTTAGACTTCCATCTACTCGGGGGCAGGGGACCAGGCTAAAATGTTGCCACAATCCTTACGTGGTGGCATAGCCTACGGGTCGGCGAAGATCTCCTCGCCTTCTGCGTAGAACGTGTTTTTTGCTGTGTGTCCTTCCCCGCACTAAAAACAGAATCCTGACAACGGCTTTTTCCACCCCGGTGGCCGGGGCGGCGGTCTTTGATCGTGGCAGAACGGCAGCGCACCCTACCCAACCCCGCCACGTCACGCCACACAACGCCACGCCACACCACGCCACGCCACACTACACCACACCGACGGGCATACCGGTGGCGATCTGCCGAAACCACCCGCGTGTGTTCAACGCCGTGGCTGGCCGACACCGTTTGCACACCCCCTTCCGTCATATATTGTACCAACTCCGCATGCACCCCCCCCTTCCCGTAGCCGAAAGCCTTTCTTCGGAGGCGGCGCGGAGATGCCTCGCCACCCCACCCCCCTCCAGCGTACCCCAGCAGGCCGCACTCGTAAAGCATACCTTGTTCTTGTAAACCCTGCACATATGGAAACGCCGCTTATCACATTTGCGTTGTGCCCCCTTGTTGTCTGTGCGTTACTCGAGAAGCGTAAAACACACACAGAAGGGTCACCTGCACACGCGGATACTTTTTCGAAATGTTCTTCGAGGAGCGCCTCTAGAGAGCAGCAGCGGGGGAGAAAAACACGAAAAAGTATCGAAAGCCCGCTTCACAAAGCTTCACGCCCCCGACTACTCACACACACTCGCACAGCACTCGAGCTTCTTCCCTGGAAGCTCATACCGCCCCCCCCCCCCCAAAAAAAAAAATCACGATTGAAAGGGTAGGAAGAACAACATACAAGAAGTACAATCCACAAAATCATATGTGAGGAGGAAGTGCCCCCCAATTCCAGAAACAACAAAACCGGAGGGGGGAGGGTTGGAGATGCCCTCCCCCCCCACCAAGCAGCATTTCTCGGGCACCACCAAAACCATACGCGATACGTATACTTCCCTAAAAACTCCGCCCGATCCCGGCCATCATCAGTAGCCGGGCAGCCCAACAATCGCTTCTAAAATGCCGACCACACCACCACCAACGACAAAGAATCCCAAGAACAAACGAGACCTCCATAAACAGAAACGAAAACAAACGAACCAATCAGAGAAGAGACAGGAGTGACCATAAAAAAAGCACGTAATCATCTACGATGCCAGACGTTTTCCTGGCATCTCGCTTCGAAGTCTTCGAAGCAAAGACGTTGATCAGACGACATATCTCTCCAAACAAGGTAAACAATACAATACGAAGTGGTACCGCAGTGCGAGAGTCGTCGCACCCCCTACAGAACACGCCCGCAATCAAGAACTTGCCTGGGAATTAACAGGTGCTCAGCTAAGAATCCTACACTACACCCTACATGGTCGCCGTTGGATTGCATCCACAGCGGAACTAAGGAACGATCCCTAGGCAAAGCAAGAGTGTATATCCTTAGGCGGCGGGGCCTTCCTTCCATAGACCGTCCTTCATAGCTCGATTTTCTCCACAGTCGCAGGGTAAACCCCACCGACGAAAAATAGGCGGGTCCTGGAAACCTCTCATGTCGAGAGGCTTCTTTGCAGACACCGGTGGGGTCGGGTTTTCACACCCTCTTGATTGTGGGTCAATCGATCCCTTGGGCGCGGGTTTGCGGCGTTTGTGTGAGATCGCTCGTGTCCCCTAGGGCAAAACATCTAGAGACGGGCTCGAGAACCGCTCCGGTTCAGACAACAACGCGAAAAGGACACGACAGAACAGAGAACTGGCAACAAGAACACCATTTGTTGTCATGAGTAAACCGACAGCAACGCACACAAACGTACTTCCTCCCACCGACCGCTGCTACCGCTGTGGTAGCCGCCTGCCGCAAAACCGCCGCCGCCGCCGCCGCCGCCGGACCCACGCCAGCCGCTCGGCACAAATACATGCTGAAATACTGGCACAAAACTGTTGAAACTAATCAGCCCAAAACGATCGGACGACAAGTGCCCAAGAGCGTCCGAGACGAAAAACACAGAGCTCTCCCCCCCCCCACGCGGTTGGTTGAAAGAAACGTTTGTTTTTTCCCTTGACCGCCACCATGCGTTCCCAGCCCCTTCAAAGTAAAAAAAACAAAACAAAACACCCCCTGCCTGCCTGCAAGAGAAGATGACAGCTGTACTGGGGGCATAGGAAGCGAGGTGAACAGGCGGGAAGTGATAACGATAGGATAGACTAGGGAAGACATTTTTGAGCCACCTTGGGCAAAGTAGGAAGGAACGATTGACCATCGGTGATCGGTCCTGTGAGAACAATGCTCCGTCCTCTCGAGGACGCGTGATCAATGGCCTAACCGCTAAGGCAAGCAACACATAAGAGTACGCCCCCTGCCCGCCAGCCCGCCGCAAATGTGCGTGGTTGTTTCCTTCCGCCTCACCAGGCGCAAACACGCAATATACCGAGCAACCCGCCGGAATATCACGGAACACCACGCCTCCTCACCAGGCGCAAACACGGAACAGAAACCTCCTGGAATACCGCACACACCTACACGGAACACACTCCTCCTCCCCCCTCCTCCTCACGCCTCTCCCTCCTCCTCTTCGGACGCAGATGCCGCTTGCGCCAGAATGTTTAGGCCATGCACCGCGTCTCCCTCCTCCGCCATCTTACCCGTCGATCCCGCGGCTCCGGCGGCTGCGCCGCCGCGCCCCACCCCTCCTCCCTCAGCCCAACTCCTTCCGCGGCCGCCGCCGCCGCCGTGGCCGTAGCCGCCGCTCGCCCCGAAGCCGGGGGGACGCCAGCCGGCGGACAAGCTCGTCTGAACCTCGGGCTCCCTAGCAGACGGGCGCCCATCGTACGGAGACCCCCAGCGGGCGTAGTGGTGCTCGCTGGCCGGCGCTGCCTGCTGTTGTTGTTGTTGCTGCTGTTGCTGCTGCAGCAGGTGCTGCTGGTACAGGTGGGGGTGATGGGCGCTTCCCCCACCGGCATGAGCTAGACGGTTGTGGGTGGCATGCGGGGATTGCGGAGAGGCGGGCGGGCAGCGGGGATGTTTTCAGCTCCCCAAGAACAACATGATCTTGTCGATGCAGCGTTGAGGTATTGGATTGTGTGGCGGGTTCAATCTGACCATGAAACTGCTGTGCTATTATTGGGACAAAAAAAAAGCACAGAAACAGACAGACGTGCTTGATGGCTGTACTTTCAAGAGCTTGGTGTTGATCACACCCATCGTGTTCTTCCAGAAGACCATTTGCCTCTCTCTGGTTGTTCCTCGTCTAGACGATACAGCGCCTTCGCCGCGTAAAAGCGTGAGGCAAGAACTCACCCTGACCAGCCTGCTGCTGTTGCTGGAGCAACCACTGCTGATGCTGCTGTTGCTGCTGTTCGAGGGCAGCCTGTTGGCTGTACTCTGCGTGCCAACGGTTGAAGCACTGCTCGGGAGTCTTCCCGCCGCCAACCGCCGCAGCCACCTGTTCGTCGTTGCAAGGAGCGTTGTTGTGTTGCTGTGTTACTGCACGCTGCTTCTGCTGCTCACGACATTGCTCCGAGCATTGGTATCATCGCCAGCACCAACAAAGCACAAAAATGATTCGTTGCCCTTCGACTTGGAGATAATAAGCGACATGACGACCCTAGACACATCGGATGGTGGTGGTATCTGTTAATGGAATATGTTGGTACTATCTGTTCCCATAATTAACCCTTTTGAGTCTTCAGGCGTTCTCACTGATCATTGATTGATCATTTGCAAATGCTGGTGTAGTGGCAAGTCGTGGAGTTGCCGCCCTGCAGCCCTTCGCGCCGTGTATTGGCAAGTCCATAGGTAGGTGTGTCTAGATTATTAGCACCCGCGCTAACCGGCTGACCAATGAAGAGACTTCAGTGACAGCGGGTAATGTCAAGGTCTCGGGAATGGGAATGGGGCCAATCAATGCCAAATCATGAATCTCTCAACGTATGCACATGTCAATGAACGCGTGTGTGCATACAGTACATACATACATACATATGTGTTCTTTCGCAGCACCACACATACACTCGCCCGAACGTAGGAAGCCACTGCTGCAAAGAGCAGAGGACAGCAAAAGGGAGGGGTATTGCAGTCCCTGCCGAAGCCCAGATATCGAGGATATCGTGGTTCCCAACAATTTGAAAATCGTTCCGAAGATCCAGCAGTCATTGTGTCAACAGCTACAACGAACACTACTACTGCTGTAGACGAGTAAAACATATCAGCAACACATCCACACTCGTAGCGCCACACATACCACCCTCGCCCGAACCTAGGAAACCACGAGGTACAGGTGCGTGCTGGTGGATGTGCTTGTTGTTTGAAAAACACAGGAGCTCTAGAGAGTTGGCAGGGCACATTTCGGGGGGGGGCAGAGAACAGAGAAGTACAAATACAAATACCAGCTATGGGTCTTCACTGA